AAGGCAAAAAAACTTGTTACAGAAGAATTAATATAAAATATATACAAAATTGCCCTCAATAAGTATTTCTTAAGCGTTAACTTAATATTGAAAAGTATGATGAATGTAATGGAATGTTCCAAATTTAAGGCAGACACCAGGCTCCTTGTGTGCTGTCCTTGAACCTGCAGACACAGACCACCAATGGGATCAGGGGACACCAAGATGATAGACCTTTTCCCTGTTCCAAGCACTGTGGATACTGAAATAAAATGAAAAACAATTTCTCTAAGGCCCTCTTCTCTACAGATATCTATACAGATAAAGAGACAGCTAGCTATGTGGTGCAGTAGATAGAATCAGGGGCTTGGAGTCAGGAAGTCTTGAGTTCGAATCCTGCCTCAAACACTTACTAGCTGTGTGAGAGATTCACTTAACTTTTCTCAGGCTCAGTTTCCTCATCTGTAAAATGAAGATAAGCTCACCTACTTATCAGGGTTGTTGTGAGGATCAGATGAGTTAACATATGTACATTTTACAAACTTTCAACTGCTATATAAATGCCAGATATTGCTATCATTACAAACATTTTTTTCTTGTTTCAGATCTGTAATTTTATCCACAACTCCTCTGTAACTTATGATATTAGGTGTTCCTGAAAAGTTATAAGTATTGTCTGTGATCATGCCACTAGTATTTGTAAGAGGCAAAACTCAAGGTCAGGTCTTTCTGATTTTGCAATCAGACCTCTATCTATTTTGAAATGTTGCCCTACCTACAGATAAGTAAATACAACATCATTGGAGAGGGAAAGAGAGTGTTAACAGGAAAGATTTTTAAGAGTAGGCTCTTAAGGAAACTAGGTGGTTCAGTGGGTATTATTCTAGACTTGGAGTCAGGAAGACCTTAGTTCAAACCCTGCCTTACATACTGGTTGTGCAGTGGTTGGCAAATCAGTCAACCTTTCAGCCTTAGTTTCCTTATCAGTAAAATGGGGATGATAATAGTACCTAACATAGATTTGTTGTGAGAAACAGGTGGGATCATATTTGTAAAGTGACTTACAAAATTTTAAGTGGTCCATAAATACTAGCTACTATTACTGAAGGAAGCTGGGGCTTCTTAGAGACTAAGGCAAGGAGGGAGTACATTCCAGGAATGGAGGAGAGCCTGTGAAAAGAATGTAGAATGAAACATGTGGGGTGGGGGGAGAAGTAAGCCAGTTTGATTGGAAGGCAGAGTACCTGAAGAGTGACATGAAATAGGTTTAAATCATCAAAGGCTTTAAATATCCTTCAAAAGAAAGAAATGTCAGAACAGAGTGCCTTCCTACAAAAGAAATATAGACAAACTTCATGCCCTGTGATTACAGAATGAGTAAAAAGAAAAAAAAATATATGTGTGTGTGGCATGACAATGAAAATGTATATCATTGTTTAGTAAGAGATATAGGCATGCAGAATTCTAAGAAATGTGAGACTAGTACAAAAGATGCTGATTGAAACAAGTAGGACCCAAAGAATGATTTATAGAATGGCTATAAAAAGTAAAAGAAATTATCACATGATGCCAAACTTTAAGTAAATAACCAGTAACACTTCTAGAAAGCAAGTAATGAAACAGATCTCCTCCAGATAGAATGGAAGAAGACCACTAGGGCAGAATGGTACATACACTGTGAGATTTTGGGGCAACCTACTCAGCGTGTTAGCTTAATTATTTCTCTTTGACACAAGGGAAGGTTCACTTCAAGGATAAGGATGGGCAGTGTTTTCAGAAAGTAACATGATATAAAAAAGCATCAGCAAAATACATGGGTTTTTTAAAACCATTTGCTATTAACCCTGATTTTTTATTTCAATCACAAAGAACGGAGAATGTAATCCATAACTACAATTCTAGAATCTTTCTCTGTTGGATATTATCTTCATCATCCATTCAGTTCCCAATTTTGATGAAATGACCTCACTGAGCTGAGTGAATACACTTAACTTCCTCAGAAATAATGAAGTGAAACTGACTACCAAATGATTTTAATAACTCAATTGATATCCCCTGTGAGGATTTCTGAGGTACTTGGTGAATGCTTCTGTTTGGGACAGATATGAGGGAGAAGAAAGGCCAGAGTGTGATGGAGTCAGATTCTGAGCCAGCTGAAAGCAAGCACATCCATTACTGAGGGACTGAATCACCTGGCTTCTGACTGCCAGGGGCAAGCATTTGGACTTGAGTTAGAGAAGAAAGTATTTTTTTATTTTATTTGATTTTTTAAAATGATTTCTTTTCTCAACAACACCTACTAATTGCTGACATTAATAGACTCGGGGTTTTCTGGATTGCAAAATACTTTGTAGATGTTACCTCACCTATTACTCAGAATGACTCAGGAAGTCAGTAGCAAAAGAATTGTGTTCTCCATTTAACAGATGAGATAACTGAGGCCCAGGGAGTTTCAACCATTTATATAGCCACTCAACCCACAGCACAGTAAGTGGCAGAGTTCTCAAAATCAAGCCTCCTGAGTCCAAATCCAAAGCTTTGGCCACTTTGGCCAACTTGGCCACACATCCTTTTTGATTTAAACTAGTTTGAGATTTTACTTTTTTCTACAACCCTCAAATTTCTATTTCATAAAAGGCAAAAAAAAAAAAAAAAAAGAATCCACCCTTCTTTTGTGGGTGGATCACAAAAACATTCCAAAGCCCTGAGAAATGCAAAAAGACAAGCCCTCAGAGCACAGTGAGAAGCACTGGGTGGGAAGCCTAAGACACAAACCACAAGCCCCTCAGCAACAACTTTTCACCCGTGTTTTCTGCTGTTTGAACTCTGATACCCAAGGGATCCCTCTCATTCTGCACATCCTCTTTTTATACACACACACACACACACACACACACACACACACACACACACACACACAAAGAACTGTAATAAGGGTGTGTCTGTGGGGCCCTGTCCCAGGAGACACTGACATCACCTACAGTCCTTAAGTAGGAAGGAAACACAGCTTAACACTTAGTTGGTGAGAATAATTAGTTAAATTAGGAAGTACCAGGAGGCCAAGGAACTCCATCCTTTACAATGGACAAAAATCTGTTTTTATTTATAATGACGTTGGAAAGAAGTGTGCTAATGGACACAAATTTCCCTTTATTGAAGTACAACGGACTGACCTGACCAGCATCCACTTGTGACCTGCTGTCCGGTGCCACCAAAGAAGTTTCACTGCTTATTGACTCTAGGAGAAAATAGTTTGCTTTTGAAGACCTTCAATATCCTTCCCAACCTTTCTTTCTAGTCTGATTTCATATTCCTTCTGTTAATATTTCTGACCTCAGACACTTACTGAGTGACCCTGGGCAAGTCACTTAACCCTGTTTGTCTCAGTTCCTCATCTGTAAAATGAGCTGGAGAAGGAAATGGCAAACCACCCCAGAGCCTTTGCCAAGAAAATTTCAAATGGAGTCATGGAGAGTTGGACACAACTACACAACAATACACCTGACATTCCACCCCAAGTGATCTATTTGCTGTTCCCCATATATTGTTTTCCATTCCCTACATTTGTACAGACTGCCACCCAAGCCTAGAACATCCCTTCCTCCCCTCCACTGTGTGGAGGACCAGAGTCTCCTTTCAGGGCTCAGCTCAGACACAGCATTCTCTAGAAGTCTCTCATGATCACCCACTCTTTCCCACACCCCAGCAGCACCCCTTCGCATTTACAGCATTCCCTTTTGTATCTATTTTTCTGTCAACGTCTTGTTTCCTTCAACAGATGGAAGTTCTTTGAAGCTAAGCATTTGTTTTTACCTTTAGCACCTCCCTCCCCACTGCAATGCCTAGCATAGGGTTTTGCATATAATAATTTTTTAATAAATTATTGTAATTGAACAAAATTTTCCAAAACAAGAGTATCTAGCTACCCTGGTGATCTCGCTCCTGGGCATATATCCCAAAGAGGACATGCACACGTGCACACACACACACACACACCACATAAATTAGAATATTCACAGAAGTATTTTTTAGAGTAGGGGAAAAATAAAATACATAGCAGCCGATTTTGGTCCTATTGATTGAGAGGAGTAGCTAAACCAACCATGTGATATGAATGTGATATAAGATAACGTAATAACACATAATAAATATAACATAATAGTGTATGGCATATCATATGACATGACATGACATGATACAACACGACATAATGTAGCATAACATAACACAATACAATATAATACAATGTAATGCAATGTAATGTAATTCACAGTAAGAAACAACAAATAAGAATTCAGAAAAACTTTGTAAGCTTTGTATAAATGGATGGGATTTAGACTAGGTGCCTTCCGAAGTCTCTTCCAAATCTAGATCTAAGAACCCAATGTACTCAGTCAGGACAAAGTAAGAAGAATCAGGGGTACAAAACTTAAATGAAAATGCCCCTGAAATGAAGACAAAGCGATTAATTCTAATTTCTAGTCTTAAGCCCACAGAACAGATAACAGGAAAGACAAACAAATCTCTACCTTCAGGTTTCAGATGGGGGACTATGGATGCAGAATGGTACATGTTCTCTCAGATGTAGTCAACTGCTTGGTTAGTTTTGCCTTTTTCTTTCTTTCTTTCTTTCTTTCTTTCTTTCTTTCTTTCTTTCTTT